GGTCATTGAGACTCACATTTGGTATGTGTATGTGGTTTGCCTGCTAAACCGAAAGTTGTAGATTTTTGAAATTTCTAATTCTAAATCATTGTTTACAATACTTTTTGGGAATTAAATGTAATTTTTATTTCTTTATGACGAAAAATATTTTGATGACGTGGCTGATGATTCAGCTACCACATCAGCTGTCAGCTGATTATTGATGATTTGGTGACGTGGCAGCTGACTCAACACTTGTTGATTTGTCAATGTATGTTTTAGCCGAATTATATGAGTTGATGTATGAATTGACACATGTATGCTTTATAAGCATGGCCGATAGTTGGGGTATGAATAAGCCGTTTTCCATGTTTATAAGCTTCGAAAACGTACCCGTTTCCTAATGTTTTTAAAAAAACTGCTTCCTGTTTTTGATTCCATGCAACATAGACTATATGTTTTCTTTATTTGTTGAATAAATAAACCAAAAAAAATAAAACGCTTCATGTTTGTTTCATAATGAAACCCAATTAGTGTTATTAATTGTGAACGACGCTGTCAAGAAAGAAGGTTTTGAACACTTCTCTTTGTAAAGATGTATAAATGATATATAGAATGAGAATATTGATCGTCAAAATTAATTAAATATTCACAAAGTTCGAAGAGACAAATTAACAAAGAGAATACTCTTTGATCCATGCATTCTACAATAGTATTTGTTTGTATATATATGCATGGGCAGAGGTTTCTAAAACATGTAATTATAATGGAGGTTTACCATGGTCATTACAGTAACAAACAACAAATACTTCCGGTCGGAGAAGGAGACTTCTCCTTTTCTTTATTTCTAGCCAAATCCTTTGGTTCAGCTACTAACATCACTGCAACTTCTCTCGATACTCGAGGTATTTACATACGTATAAATATATCATTTTTTGTGTGTTTTTGAGACCATCATTGTTTATTTGTGTTTGTATTTGAGTTTAAAACAATCATACTTTTTGTAGAGGAATTAGAGCGGAAGTACGAGGATGCAAAGAAGAATGTAGAAGAACTAGAGACTCTCGGATGCACTGTGGTTCACAGTGTTGATGTGCACTCCATGGACACAAATTATCGCGTAGGGCGATCGATTATGTATGATAGAATCATCTTTAATTTTCCTCATGCAGGGTTTATTTTTGGTCGTGAGAGTGATAGCTACACCATCATGTATGTAAATCTTCTTTTCTATTGTGG